GCTCGGAAGCATATTCAAGTTTGTACATCATTCGATTGAGCAGAATCTCTGCTTTCTAAATGTAAAAAGATCACTGGAAAATCCGTCTTTTCAGGTTTTCCCTTAAACATGCGAATTTCTTTTCACCGTTCGATGCATCAGAACCCCTAGATTCAAAATATTAAAAATTTTGCTGAGCAGTTCGGCTTAGTTGAGAAGATATAGGCATAGTTCTAGTAAGATATAGGCAAATTAGAATTTCATGAAAAAAAGATGGTTCCCAACGCTAATATTGTTATCTTTAGATATGCGGAAAGAAGAATGCCAAAGTAGGAATAATGCGATATTAGTGATATTGGTGATAACAGAGAGGCATAAAGTCGTAATGAGCTTTTGGATTTGCTGATTAAATAATGTATAAAAATGGGGAATTGTATTGAGGTCTAAGATATAACTGGATTTCTGAGAGTGCGTCCGTCATGTATGCAAGCAATTTCCGCATTCTACCGATGTCGGTACAATTGGTATCTGTGATACTTTTGCCCAGTATCCCTTATCCAGTATATGGCCAAACGTAAAGGATCCCCCACTTTCAGCAAAGTAAATGTGTCGTCGAGTCATTTTGCTTGGTTTCAGAGATATGTGTGTATTTACAAAAGTCTACAATAGAGCGACTAATCTTCAAACTGTGTTCACTTGATCTCGATGCTGGTCAAAGATGTCAATTAATGAGAAGATGACGAGCACTGTTTTTAGTCTAAATGTTTCTTTTTACTTTTTGTCCACCATCCTGAAATTTTCTTGCTATTCGGAGCATAGAAAGGTTCTCTGCTAGCAGAAAAATGTAGCCAATGTATTGAAGAACCTCAAAATCATTTGTGACTGAACAAACCTTTATTTAGGCTAGGATGATCCAATGATACCCAGAAAATGGCCGAATGAAGAGTGTTGTTATCAACTAACCACATTTACATACCCGAGTGAAAAAACACCATCACAATGGCGTTCTATCGTAACACAGCAACTGCACGAAATATTAATTTCCCGACCTCCTGCATTACCTCCCCTCCCCCTCCCCCCCAACATTCCCAACTTACTCAAAATTGATGATTTCACCCCGTGCGAGAACTGCTGATGTAGAGGATAAAGATTTATTAATGTTATTATTAAATTATTAATGCAATCATCATTAAACATTACAATCCACCATGAAGTCAGTTATTATTATTGTTGTTATTGGCTTGAAATGACAATAAATTAAAGAATTGCGATCGACTTCATTTTCGCGTTCTTTCGTTCTATTTCTTCTCATCGCCCGTCGTAACCTTATTGATATATTCTTTGAATTCTAAAACTGATTACGCTTGCTGCAGCGAAATCGCTAAACGGTTTCAAAACAATAAGTAAATTGGGCAAATATCAAAAGACTTCGTGAAATAATAGTTTCAATCATAAAGAATTTACAGAAATGATAGTAAATGATCGAGAATTAATTCACTTAAATAACCTTCAAAACTGATTTTGTTATCACCATCCTTGTCAGCACTTTTGATAGTATTGATCAAAAATCGCAGATTTGTTCGGAATGCTGGATCTTTGTGGTCATCCTGCAACAAGCTCTACGTTCCTTATCAATCGTTCAATGCTCAGAGATCCTCATTTCAATCCTGAATTGTCCACTGAATAGTTCTTTTTATGAATTAAACATGACTTTTGAGAGCATCATTTTTTAGTTGCATTCATTTAATAATTACAATGTATTTTGAGCGAATGTTATTATATGGTAGCAATTTTAGCGTAGTCACGGTTATTGATTCGTTATCGTTGTCGTTATCAGTATTATTATCAGCGTTATCATTATCGTTAGAAATATTATACCTTGTCGGCATTCATCAACATGCAGAGTATGTCTTCCTTGCCGATATAACCACTCATGTCTTTGTCATGTTGACGGAACATATCGCGGACTTCCTTATCTTCAAATTGATCAAAGAAATAGTCAAATAAAACTATTTCATTCAGCACGAAATAAATCCATGTGAGATTTGAATCGCTCCAACACTCACATTAAATATCACATTCTCATGCACATAAATCCTCGCCTGCGATATTTACAGTCTTCTAAGAAGAGGGCTACTTCTCAATAGAAATGTCTGTTCCAAGAGTTGCTTGCCTTGGAAAGAATATGTTATCAGCAAAATCAATGATAATTGCAGTAATAATAAGATCTGTTTTGCGCGTAACAATGAATGATAGAAACTTCAGTATATCGCTCGCTAAATTATATTGATCGAAACAATAATCTAACAATGATAGTAAAATTTATTTAGAGATGTTCTAGCAATAATCATAAATTATAAGACTTACCCCATGCAGCCATATTGTATTTTTTGTGCAAGATCTGGACACCAGCTACTACCAGTCTCTATAAATAACACTGAATGCTGACTACAGAAATAATGAATTTGATTGAAATAAGACGATTTTTGCACACGACTGCAACTGTACGCAACAAGTGATTAACTCAATTAAAACAGAAATTTCGCTTCAGTTTTAAGCAATTTTGTAATGCACATAGAAACTACGCAAACAGTTGAAGAAGATGGCAGTGGTTGGTGCGTATTGTTCCGGACGTAGTCACTTGTATAATAAGTACTGAGTGGTACTTAAGTAAAATTGTTAAAATATTGAGTTAATGGATCGGGACGCGACGGTGTTATGCAGAAAAACGTTGTTGAATTTGAGAGAATGCTGTTAGACATGTACATTTTCACGAGTGTTTTGCTTAACTAATGAGTAAAATAGACTGTAATAAATGCTTGACTTCTTTAGCTTACCAGTAATGTACCGATGATATATGAGTAACTGTCATCTAAATAAATATAGTTCTTACAAAATAATTGACAGGGCGAGTATTGCTACTTTTTAAGTGCTTACAGTACAGTTTACCTAGTGATATCAGCGTTTCGTCATCTTGTTCTGTTCCTTTTTTTCTGTAAAGATGAATAATATTGAGCCGAAGATTGTGTCAAGCAACTCTCATTGCTTTCAATATAGATTCTTGCCTCAAACTGTGCCTCATCTGTGAAGTACGGAAGTGATTCATAAGTCCCTGAATTGGCTGCACGCTGCATATATTTGAAGCTTCACACTGATGGTTTGATGAATCTCTGCAGTGATCATTAACAAAGCTCCATAGATCATGAAGACTTATCAGAGATCATCAGCATTGCTCCAGTGATATTCGCAAATGGTTATGATCCGTTGCATCAAATGCCACCTTAGAATTCGGTGAATCCATCAAGTTACACCACTAAATATCTGAATTGTAACGATAAAATATCAATAACTGAATTGGGACGCAAGAAAAACGAACATTTTAGTGTTTATTTACTAAATGAGTACAAAATGCAAGTTTAGTACATTGTTTCGTTTTATTGATGAACGATTACAGCAAAACATTACGAACACTTCATTGAATCGCCATAAACGCATACAATTCCCCAGAAAAATTATCAGCTTTATCATCGTTTCATCACTCTCGACCTCTACGAGTAAGCAGCGAACTTCGTCCATTCAGGTGGAAAATCTGAAAAATTTCAACGAAACGCTAATGCCAGTAGTAGTGAAAAATAAAGCCATTCATTTCAGCAATAATATCATCGATATGATCGAATGAATCTGATGAGTCATGATAAAAGAGTATTCGAAGAATTTGTATCGATTAATGCTTAATTGGAAGTGGGATCTTTTGTTTTATCGAGCGGGGTATGGCTGTTTGAGGTGTTATTATTGATAAGAACATTTGGAATATTGATGACAATATAAGAGTTCAGTCAGTCACTTCATAAAGTGGACGAATGAAACGGCGTTGGACTGAACGGATTTTGTTCTTTATTCTTGCTCTTTTCCAATTTTGTCGAATTTTTCGTCCGAAAAATGCTACTCACCTTCGAAATTTCTATTTTACATTACGAATATCTAGGAAATGCCTGGAAAATTACAATTGTTCCATTCCAGAAATAGAACCATCCAAGATTAGAGAACTGACTGGGCATAAACAGACTGAAAACTGGAAATTCTGATAAAGATTTTAGTCCTCTTAAACTATATTCTGATTTACTTTAATACTGTTCCGTTGCACCGTTCCGTAATCTGCTGCGATNTGTCGCTCATCGAATCTCATCTGATTCCATATTTTTACCCATCTCAGAGGCAATTTCCATCGGATAATTCAATGGTCACAAGCTGGAGAATGATTCTATTACAGTTTCTGAGACATTTCGAAATGCATACATACTGATAAGTCCCTACTGACTGACAAAATTAGCTTTACAATGTTGAATATTTGTCGGTATTCGAGCATACAGTAATAAAGTTAATCGAGCGCATTTCCCTTTTATAGGAGGGCAGAGCGCAGACAGGTCAACGTCCCGCATGGCTGGAGGCGCATCTCTAAGGTTAATTGGCGAAGCGTCCGTAACTATTAGATGTATTTTAAGAAAATACTTATGAAGCAGTAGTGAATTTAGATCAACTCTTATTTTCAGGTCATATTTTTGTGGTGGAACGTTTTTTTTTCTACTTTTTGACTACCTTGTTTTTCATTTCTTCATTCTCATGATCTCAACATTGAATTTTTACCTTTATCGACTGAATATCCGTCAGAAATGCGATTTAAAAAACTAATCATCCGGAACTAAACTCATAACTCTTGTATTGTGCGACCGATATTACAATAACATCAGAATCAATTTCAATATAAGTCGACAGAAATACGCTCTCGCTATCAGCGCTGAATTAAAATCCGAACAACTGAAATCATTTGAAGAAGAAATATCTTTATTCGAAGTTCAAATGTGAAGAAAAACTAAGAGCAAATCGAATCAAAACCAAAATTATACAAATGAAAGCAAAACGATGCTAGCATCCATAAAATTTTTAATTGTTGTATTCATTTCAGGATTGTGAAAACCGAATAAACCGATAGTTGGCCGGAAGTAACAATTGAAAACAGAGGAATGTTTCGTAAAAACAAAAGTCGTTCGAATCTACGTCAAAGAGTATGCTCAGATGACGAGAATGAAAAAGAAGACGCAGGGAATGCGGCCACAAAAAATGAAAACAAACCAAAATTGTCGGAGAATGGCTCAGCTTCATCGCATTCCCTGGCCACAGCCAATAGTGATTTAGCAAAAAAGGTTACTAAACCGCAAGCACCACCGCATAGTCAGTCGTCTGCATCGCCAAACACATCGACTACAGACACACAATTAATACCCAAAGCGAACAGTTTGCTGAGTTTTAACGACCTAGAAGGTCGGTTAGTTTTATCAATATCAATCCTATCATACATCATGTCTCGCATATGATTATGGTAGAACATCTCTGATCATATCACCATCCGCATAAATGCTTGTGATAAGCCATCAGCCCAGCCCGCCTTTGCCGATACTAATTCACGAAGCATCAACGGCTTTTGTGCACTTCGGCATCAGTGCATATCCATTGAAAAGCATGTCAAAATGAAGTTGAATGAGCTAAAAACCGAAACATTCAGGTGATGATGTAATGGACTTTAAATTGCGCAAGAAAGACCAGAATAAACGAATGGAAAAATTGGCCAAAAAAGCGAAATCATTACGTAAAAAGGAGTTGGAAGAAGACGACAATGTGGATGAAATGCAAAAAAGCACTCAATCACCAAAATCTAAATCTAAAATCAAGCAAGAGCTGTTAGATTACCATAACACATCATCACCATCCAATTCATCGAAGGTTAAAACATTTTCCGAAGACAAAATCTTTCCCGAAGTCTTTGAAAAACAAAACAACTGACAACANCTCGACCTTCCGCACAAGAATAGAGCCACTAGCCGACTGTGCTATCCGGGTGACTGAGGACGTTACTAATAATCTTATACAATAATAATGTAACACGATTGGGAATTTTATTCTTGATGTCTGAAATGTTAAAATCTTGCTATGAAACTTTTTTGCAGGTAAATTCAGAAAGGATCAAGGTGGAGTATTCATCACCACAAAGAGATACAGATGACGATGTTGAAAGAACAACTCGCAGCAAATTTTCCACCACTTTAGGTTCGATTTTTCAAGGAATTTCAGTCCACTTTCACTGCTAATGAATTCTGTAACAATGGTTATACATAATAGTACCGTTTTAATCGCGAATAAGTTGTTCAGGTCAAATCCCGGATGCACAAGCAGTGTACGAGGCTCGAAAGAAGCGAGAAAAGTTGCGAATGAGTGGTGCGAGTGGAAATATACCATTGGATGATGTGCAGAAATTGAAGGTATTTCAATCGTTCATTAATCTGTCATAATTGGCGGATGTGTTTATTCATTAATGTTAGTGCTAGTGTTACCCTTATCAGTATTTCGTATTGTTTTGATTTTAAACAATAGCTGTTGTAATTCAAAGGATAAATCGGTCGTACGATCTCGTTTGATACGCGAAGATGATAACGATATGAGTGACGAGGATGATGGAACCGGAAGGTTTATTTGCTTTTCTTATTTTTGTTATTATTATTGTCTATAAATTGGTATTATTTATTATTGTATTGTATCATTAGTTATATTGTATAATTACTGCAAGTTGTTTCTTTGTGATCATTACGCTTGATATTTGAGTCACATTCAAAATTTAGATTTTATTCGTCCAAAACGCTCGTGATAGATGAAGATGAACGTCGTCGTGTTGAACAATCACACTTTTTATCCATTGAGCAAGGCGGTATATATCTCTTCGTTTATTTTGACTTTAATTGTGCATTTGAAGAGTTGTTATGGCTGTGTTAATTGCAATTATGATTGTTAATATTAGATAACGAGAACGAGCAGTCTGATGAGGAGATATCGAAATGGGAAAGTGAGCAAATGAAGAAAGGCGTTTCTTCGTACAAGGTTGCTTATCGACTAGTATTGTTATGGCTCTTGTTCACGAATGTTATTTGTTTTTGTTTATTATTTATTATTTGTTGTTATAATTATTATTGAAATTTAAGGTTGAGTTACTGGAACAGGAGCGACGAAGAATGACGGAAATGATGGGTGCGATGGTGATGCAACAGCAACAGAATTACGGTTATATTAATGATGAGAATAACGAACCGTTACCGATGGATGTCGATATGGATATCGAATTCGATATGCAGCAGGGCGATTCGAAAACTGGTGAGGGATTCATTGTTGCTTATTATTTTAGTTCTTTTTGATATTATTGTTATTATCATAATTGTTTATTTTTACTATTGTATTATTGTTAACAGTATTGTTACTAATACTGTTATTGTTGTCAAGGTTACTGTTTATATTATCATTATTATTGGTATTATTTGTGGCAGTAAGAATCAGTTTGTAATCAGTTTAAGAGTTGTCTTTTAATACAACAGAATTGATTCGAATAGTGTCTATTTCATTTTAGGCAGTAAGGTGAGTGGACATACGTCGAACGTTACGTTGGATGGAATTCTTTCAAAATTACGACTGAGGTACGTACCTTTTGATGATTATCTCAATGAATTGTTCATAAATGTCATTTATTTAGCACAAGTTCGTTATATTATAATTTTTATGTGATTAAAGTGTATCGGTTATATTCATATTCATTTGCTTTCATTAATACATTTTTGTGCAAATATCAGTATGATAGTACTCGCCAAGAACGTCAACAGTTGAAATCGGTAAAGAGATGGCACAGTTGTTTCCCGTTGAAATAGAGTTGTTAATGGCTTGTTCAATTCAGGATAAACGATCGTGACGAGGCGTTGAACGGTCGTGAGGCAGAACTGGATAAGGTGGAGAAGAATTTGAAAGAGAATCGAGAAACAATGGTGAAACTGAAGAGTGACGAGCCGAGACTGAACGAGCTGTTCACGATGTATCAAGAGATCAGAGCGTTCTCGAGAGACTTGATGGAGTGTCTCTCGGAGAAAGTCGACGAAATCAAGCAGTTGGAAACACGAATGTATTCGATAAGATCGCAACGATCAAACAAACTCAAGAAACGTTTTCGTCAAGACGTTCACGACGTATACGATGAATGTTCTGCGTCCGCTAATGGCAAACTGATAAATTCGATTCGAAATCAGGCAGTTATGCAACGTGCTTCTGAACGAGAGGCGAGACGGTACGAGCAACTGTATTCATTGTTTCGTTTGTTATTAATGTTAATGTATATTGCATTAGATATATTTAATGTATGAGATTTTTATTATAGTGATAAAATGTTTTATGAAAATTATCATTGCATTAATTGTAGTGCTCGCCGTCGACGAAATCGTGAGAATACTCTGGAAGGGATATCGCATGAAGATGGTCTGAGTACGGATGATGAAGAGACGAATACTGAAATTACAGCAACACAACTTTCGATTAGTTGGTTTTTAGTTGTTTGTAATTTCTTTCGGTTTTGTTCGTGTAGATTTTTAACAATGCTGATGCAATATTCATTCAGATAATGGTATTGAATGTGCATATACTATTCATTAGATCAGGTTTTGAAGAGCGTAATGAGTGTGATTGATTTTAGATGAAATAACCGAGGCATCGCGATTGATATTCGTTGATACGTTGGATGAATTCAGTCGAATTGATAAGATCATGTCGAGATTTGTGGATTGGATCGGTTTGGATGAGAAGTCGTTCAGTGATGCGTACATTCAGTTGTGTATTCCGAAATTGTTATCGCCTTTTATTCGGATCGAATTGATCAGTTGGAATCCTTTGGAGGTTTATTTCTCGCATATGTTTTGATTCTTTATTGAATTTGTTATTTGGATTGTTTTAAGTTATTATTTTTACAAATTCATTTATTCATATATTTTATGCAGAATGACGATCAACTTTTACACCAAATGAAGTGGTACGAGCAGTTGCTGACATGCGGTTCATCGAATGCGGATTTGAGTGGAGAGCATTCGATTATTGTTTCGTTCATACCGCTTTGCATTGAAAGAATTGTTATTCCACGAATAGCTGGTGAGATTCTGACTGGTTTCGAGTGTTGATTACGTTGAATTTTCAGTGAAATTCTAGTTTTTATTGTCAAAAATTTTTTCGAATTTTTTCAGTTTTTGGTTATTCTTTTTGCAAAATTGATTGCATGAAGTCATGCTTTACAAAAGCATCTGCAATATTTAAAACGTAAATGATAAAGTGCTGATTGTTCAAATCAGATAGTAATCTGGTTCAAATTCAGTTTTATTTTGTTGGTGAAGTGAAATAAAAGAACTTGAAAAAAATGAAATGTGCAGATATGGTGAAGGATCAATGGGATCCATTGTCGAGCAAGCAAAGCGGAAGGTTGTCCGCCTTAATCAGTACTCTGATTGATGAATGCCCGACGTTGGTACCGACGAGTCGTTCGATTAAACGACTGTTGACGAATATACGAGAACGAATTCAAGAGTCGATCGATGAGGATCTCTTCGTGCCTATTTACTCGAAACAGTTCGTTTTGTTTTGTTGACAGTTTACATTTGTGGATTGCTTATTGTTGATGATGTTAGTTAGTGTAGATATATTATTTATGGTTGTATAATTTTAAATAATTATTATTCAGAGCAGTGGAGAATGCAGCAAGTGGATGTCGTGCGTTCCTTGATCGGCAGTTCTGGACTGCAATCAAAGTGAGTTGTTCAATCATAATTTAGATACAGTATTTTCTGCACTCTAGAACGCACGAGATTATAAGACGCATGTCAATGAATGGTCTATTTTCGGACTTTTTCTTATATTGAGCGCACCGTACTATAGGACGCATTAAGGGAAACAAAACTGGTCAGTAACCAGAATCAGTCCATATATAAGGCGTTCGAGGTTATGAGGTGCACCGTCGTTTTTTGAGAAAATTAAACGCTTTTAAGGGCGTCTTACAGTCCGGAAAATATGATACATGATTGTTGGTTATCGGTGCTAACTGGTGACGAAGAGTAAACACAAAATTTTCAGCTTTGTGGATGTGTGAACAAATTCTCAACGATTCTATCAGAGGACTGTCTCAAAGAGTTGGTAGTGGATGGAATATTGAAGAGGAGTATTCAGTTGGCATTACAGTGTTCGTTGTGGAATGATGCAGCGATTATACGAAAGTGTAAAGCGATCATCAAGTCGATTCCATCGAATTGGTGGATCAAATATGAAACTGCGCTGAAGTCGTTGATTTATGTAATTGTACAGATTAATGATGAATACATTTACAGTAAAAATAGGTTGGTTGGCGTTTCATTTGTTTCACTTTCCAACACCTTTTTATTATCATTTATTCTTATTATGGATAATTTCATATTGAAACTCTTGTTACCATTATTATTCNATATAACTTTTTTCATGTATGAATACAAAAATCCTCGCTCGAATGGAGAATTTCCTATCGTTTAAAAAGAGTTTGTGGATTTGAATGAAAATTCTCGAAATTTCAGGGATTTGGCCAAAGAGATAAGGCGAACAATTGGTGTTGATAGGTGAAGATTGATGTATAAACAAGATATTGTATCGGATTATGTTCAGTGCATATCGGATTAAGTTCAATACATCATTTTGTTATCAGTGCTATGATTGGAAATTTCGGTGGTCTTTGGCTGCATGCAGTCAGTTTGGATTTTTTAGTGTAATTACATTTATATTGACATTATTATTATTATTATTATTATTATTATTATCGTTCTTGTTAATTTTATTATTTCTTCATTGGTAATATCATGCGAATTGCTGTTGTTATAAATATTTATAATAAGAGTTGTATCACTGTCATTGTATTGTATTGTTATTGTTATTTTATGAGGGAGTTGTAATGAATTGTTATTATTATAATTCGAAGTTTTTTTTGGTTCAATGTTCTCAATTCATCATAATTGTTGTCATTCTATCGTTGTGTCTCGTTTTCATTTGTTGAACTGATTTTTGGTGTGGTTCGAGGAGCGATTTGCAATAATTTGCTTCACTGAATCGCTTTCCAAATGCGTTTATCAAGTGTGTCCATCATCGTTGTTCTCATCTAATAGTCACTGGTATTATATCCTGAATCGTGAAGATTTCTCAATTGTTTGTCGTTTTTTGCCGTTTGAAGAGGTTTTTTTTTTGAATGTATTCAATATATATGTAAATGTTGAGTTAGTATAATAATGAATTTATTTTCTGAAAAAAATTACAGAAAGGTGAATGCAAATGTGGCGATTTTATAAATCGTATACGATTTTGTTATTTGCTTATTGCCCATTAAATGGGTTATTGTTGAATTAATTGGTTTGTTTGTTCATTAGTGATTTGATTTGGCATCGTTAATTCGTATTTTCAAGTTGTCTTCGTCAGTAAATAATGTTGTAATTAATTATCTAGCGTTGTTTCGTTCACTTTTATGAGCGACATTATTTCGATGATCAGTCATTACTGTTACTGTTGTTATCGTCATTATTATCACTATTTTTATGGTTGTTGTTTTATTTTTATCATTTGTGTGTTCTTGACTTAATTGTTACAATAATGGTTTGCTAATAGATGCGAGTTGATTTGATTGTTTTCATGAATAATAATTTATTGTGAATAAATGATTATGATTCAATGATTTCTGTATTATTTATCGCAAGCAAAAATACTTGAATAAGCACAACGTGACACGAAAGAAAATGTGTGTGCAAAATGGGTATTTGTGAATCCCATTTTCGTTTTTTGCGAGATTACTTTCAAACGTAGAAAAGATAAATTCTTTTGTTGGGATCGTTGAAGAAGGTGATCAATAGAGAGAAGATTCATTTAGCGATGCATTCAACTTAGCTATAGCTCATCGATTTGTGTTAGAAATAAATTGATTCGTCTCATTTTTCACTTGAATTTTGAGAAAGAATAAGTGTTTCAGAGAGACATCAAACTGAAACTTTGTTATGGATTGGCAACGTACAGTGGTTGTGATCGAGCGATTTGAACGAATCACACAAATGAATATTCGTGAAATAAAACAACTGCATCGATCTATGTTAGAGGTACACAAAATTCATTGTTTTCCGGCGAAAAAGTTTTTCATTCACTTAAAATTCCATTCAGATTTTTTCACAGCACGTCAATTGAGTTCAATCGCTCTCTGCACCATTGCAACAAATCTTTCTTTTTTATGCTATTCGACGTTTTGTGTGGGTTATGGAATTTTTTTACAAATTTCGCGATCATCTCATAATGTCCGATTGCCTGTCATATTTATTTGTGATTTTCCTTGGTTCAGGGCGGTAGTAGTGTTCTGAAGAACGCAAAATTTTATTGACTCATCCAGGAATGTAGAATTTACTCTTCGAAAAATTTTGGCTTCGAAAAACTTCTTTAATGTTTCTCAATGTTCAGTTGCAACGAATTGGTGATAGCGGCAATGCCTCATCGGATAAACGGCATATCACTCGTAAGTTGGATCAATTACTGGCTGGATTAAGACAGATATTGGATATCCGATCGAAGTTGAGCGATCAGGATCAGGAACGATTCGATCAACGAATTGAGCCGATTCGAACTCAGATTCAGTCCGTCGTGAATACGTTGAATTTGGTTTGTGCATCCGATGACAATGACAACGAGAATAGCGCAGGCGATTTGGGTTGTTCCCCTAAAGAGGAGTTGATATCCGGCAAGAATTTCAACGATGGCCGTAATATTTATGCGGATTTATATGAACAACAAACCTCTGCGGCTGCTAGAGCACAATCGGGACCAGAGGTTGGTTGATTCACACTCACATCGCACGAGTTTTTTTTTAAGAGGAGGGAGGGATGGCTAACCGAAAGAAGTGGACAAGTTGAAAGTTCAGGCTGGCTTAGGCTCGAGTTCAGGCCCAAGCACAGCCTTGTTAGACTAGTAGCATTTACGATTAGAGTTGACCATGCGATTTTATTTGAGAGGGTAATGGAAATTGCTGGAAATCGTTTAGTCGTTTATGAATTAATTTAGTGTGGATTTGTGGTTTTTGATAGTTTTTCGTAATCTGTTAGTATTTTGATAGCAGATGAGAACTCAAGCACAAATTCGAGCCGACGAATTGCGACTAAAGGCAGAACAGGCGAGAATGGATGCGGAGGAATCGAAGAGATTAGCTGCGGTTCGTTGATTAAATCTTCAGAGGATTTTTTGAAAACAAGTGTTTGCACTGAATCAAATGATAGTTCACTCGTGAACTCGAAGATGGATAGGGATTGAATATTTGCAGAGAGCAATTGATTTAACAAAAGGGTTCGATTTTGAGATTTTCAGATAAATTTTGAAGTTGATTTTTGTGTTTGTATTGAAATGATTGTTGATTCAGGATATACAAGATTTGAACGAGATAATGATTGATTTAGGACAGCTTGTACATGTAAGTTATTGATTGTTATATGTTGATTGTTGTCATTGTTGTTGTTGTTGTCTCGTTTTTGTGACCTGGCAATAATTTTATGAAATTTTTAGTCGTTTCCATCAAACTTTTCGTAGATTCTTACTTTGAACAGCAGCATTGGATTATGATCTGTCGGAAATTAAGTAGTTAAACGAATGCATTTTAGTATTTGTCTGTTATCTTATCGTATCATGTCGTCATCATTATCATCGTTGCTGAAAGTGCCTTACGTATCAGTGATATGTGTTAATAAAAGAATCTACTGCAGTCTCAACACGAAATCGTCGACAGTATTGAGGAGAACGTTGAACGATCCAGACATCACGTCGAGGCGGGTCATCGCAATCTGAAAAAGGCTCAATCTTCGCAGTCTGCGAAATATCCTTTAGTGGCAGCCGCAGTCGGAAGTGTGGCGTTGGGAGGGCCAATCGGAATCGCTGCAGGGTCAACGATTGCCGGGGTCTGTGCTGCAGTGGGGGGTGCGATTGCAGGTGAGTGGTATCGCTACTGATTAGTTCTGTTCTCATTGCTACGCAATCGCTACTAGTGTTGTTACTAATTATATTGGGTATTCGGATAATGTGCCGAAAGACGTTTTGCCTAAGGAAAATTTGCCTAACGACACATTGCCTGACGGACAATTTGCCTAAGGAAAGTTTGCCTACCAGGCAAACTTTCCTTAGGCAAATATCCATTAAAAAACTGTTCGTTAGGCAAACTGTCCTTAGGCAAAATGTCTTTAGGCAGATTGTCTGGTCACGATTATATTGTGATCATTATTATGCATCATCTCATTGATGATATCATACGAAGTATCGTTATCGAATTGAAGGTCTATATGGTGGTCGAGTAATCAAGAGAAAAACGCAAGAAGCTGCTAATCGGGAGTGATTGAACGAGCGTTTTGTTCCTCGTCGAGCAAAGATACTGTGATATTGATTAATATTGTCAAATACTTTTATTTTGCTCCTAAATTATTCGCTTTTTGAAGTTTATTCGCTGGTTTTTTACGCGTGAACATTTCATATTTTTCGTAAAATTTCCATTTCCTCCATGGGTTTGTCGCATCTCTTTCGCCTCACTTTTTGTCATTTCTCATCTCCATTTCGAAAGTTGCATTCGTTGATGTGTATTGGTCGGTTCACGTTACGATTCATTTGATCATATCGGTCGATTGAAGTTCCTTCCGCGAGCAAAGTCTTTCTTATTTATAATTGTCCATTTGCTTTATTTTTTCACTCTTCTTTTTTGCAATCTTCTCGTGTGATAATGTGTTCTATTTTATTTCATTTTTTGCTCATTTATTCCATCGAACTTTTTCGTTTTGTATTCTTGCGGACTTTAACGATATTTTGTCAGAGAGCCATATTTCTAAAAGTTATTCCATTGAATTTCAAACATTCAAACGATTTTGTTTGTTAACTTTATCCTTGATGTAATGTTTTGTCGAGGAATTGCGTATGTACCAATTCAAATATGTACTGAAAATAAATTTTATTCTCAAGAATGCGTATGCGTCATCAATGCGTGTTGTTTGCTGAGAGTGTAAACATCACTGATTATTTTCATTTCAAAATTCATTGATGTAATCAAGAAGTTTCAAGCCACCTACTAGTTCGAACGTTAATTGATNTTGCTATATTTTAGAAGGTTTGTAAACTGACCAATAACAACAACAAAAAGACCAATGCATTATTGAGTAATAAACTTTATTCAATTGTACAGAAACTTCCAATGGAAACTATTCATCGATAACAAATTATACGCGTTTTCATTTATATACACGACGACTTTTGGAGCGTTTCTTTTGAAAAATAAAATATTTGTGCGGCTATTATTTACATAACGATGAAACAACGAAAATGAATGCAATCAAATAAACATTTGATAAACTCCATAAAAAATATGTCTCCCTTTTTACATACAAAAGGCATATGTACATAATTACAAAATAATTGTGATATATCTAAAATTATAAATGTACAAATAAAAACAATAATTCAACTCTCAAACGTTAAATATTCAATATCCATCATTTGAAATCATCGGTGACGAGCACAACGAATTGGAACGTGACGATTGTTCGCTTGTTGTCGAGCAAGACCTGGAATATGGATACGGTTTATTTTTGAATCGAATTTTTTTAAACATTCATGGATCTGAATTCGAAATCCGCGATACAATCCGCAAAAAGGCGAATTGCACAATTTTTTTCACTGCATAGCAACTACAACTATTCGCGAAGATATTCAAAGGAAGTATTCCGAAAATAAATGAAACAACTTGACTATGCTCTATCCATTTCAAATGAAGCGAAACCTCGGGAGTAGCTGCAGTGCTAGGATTTGAAACTGGTCATATAAATGAGGAAAACAATGTGTTAGCTAATAATTCTGGTTAATTCTCAACGAAACAAATGAACAGCACAACACAACTACACTCTCGTGGTATTTCATTCGGTTATTCACATCAGTTCATTCCTTTAATCAAATCAACCCACTAAAAACAATAATCGCTCATTGATGAATGCCATTTTAAGTCATCACTCCACAGAATCATCTTCTAATGCAATCGTACTTCCTAAGCCCACTGCATCTTCTCCCTCCATAAAAAGTGATGGATAAAGATTCGACAACCTGTAGTGTTGAATACCAATATATAATATGAATAATTTATATAATTACTATTGATTTAATAANTTATATAACTAAAATGTTACAAATTGTTACTTATATACCCAAAATGTAATTTTAGTTACATATAGTATTCAATAATAACAAAAATAGCGAAAATTACGTTATTTGATGGACCAATTTCAGCATGTCATCTTTAATATTCACGAAATTGTTCGACTTCTCCAGAATATTATCAGCCAGTATACCGATGCACATCATTTTCAACACTGACAACTGATAATGCTCTGCCAATAATAGCATCTTCTTTGATAAATCTAGTTCACAACCGCTCTGAAAGACTTATCACTCTTATCGTCATAATCATCGTATTATCGTACCATTATTATCAGTATTAACACTGTTATCATTGTCTATCGAATTGCCAACGACGACTCAAAAACAAACCGAGATTAATTGTCGACATATGAAACGTTCCACTTCGCGTGTAAACGCTGGTATATGGTGGTATTTAGCACCTTCAATTATGCTCAAAACATCTTCAAAGCATTCCACTTGTGGCATTATACATTCATTGAAATATATATGCGCAAACACCTTAAATGTTCATTATTATTTCTGAGTATTAATATTTCTTCAATCATTATTATTAAATCACTACTTTGATGGATTTTTTCATGTATGCTTTCCATGATTTAATTGTAATCATTATATTGTTATTATTATGCGTGATTATCATTATGTGTGCACGATTTATTATTTCTGATTACATTTAATTAATTATTTCCATCAATATGTATTTAAATCCCATTTGATCGTCTTCTAAAATCAGTGCTCACTTCACGGGCGATTCACTCCTCAAAGAGCGATTCACCTCTCAAATAGCGAATCATCTCTTAAGTGCGACAATGAAATTCCCAAAAAAATCGCTTGTCTAACTGCTCAACGAGAACAAATGCGATTTGGAGCAGTCTTATGAGTCTCCATAAGCCCCAGGCATTCTTTCATATATCAAACGGTTCATCTGGCGAGGAGGAAAGGATTTCTCTATGGATCTCGTAATGTACAGCCGAAAGAACAATCTACGTGCTAGTTTATATGAAGAAATTCAAAAATGAGGAAAAAATTATGAAATGTGAAATGTGAAATACTTCAATGAACAAAAATATGCATTGTCTAACAATAAGCAAATAAATGAAAAGAAATAAATCACAACAAACATTTATAATCTTCTTGTTATCTAAGGTTTTATTGTTCGCACGACGGGCGATTTCTTCACAGCCGTGAGTAAAGATACGTCGGTGAATGGCGAACAAATCTGGCTGAAACAGGCATCCACTTTACACATTACTGCTTCATATCGAATATTTTTGTGGCGAAAATTAATTTTTGCATAAATATTTGCATAATATTGAATCGCTTGTCGAACTTATCGTACGCATAATTTATAATTTGTCAAAGCATTTCCTATCTTTGTTCTCATAATCTCAAAGTAACCAGGAACAAACTGGTGAGTAAACTCTAGATAGGTTAATAACAAAACAAAATTAAGTGTCGGATAATTAAAAAAAACAAAAAATCTGTGAATTATAATTCGTATAGTATATTTGAATTTTTGCATTTGACAATGTCACGTCAATATGGAAATGCTTTAAAAATTAATCTGAATTCACAAATTTGAAATTAAAATGAAACAAAATAGAAACATAAAATTTACTTCTTTCATGAGTATGTCAAGATCTGGCACAACAATTTGGTTGTTTTCAATTTGTGTCAAATACTTTCGACATTCGCGTTCCAAATAATTCGACTCATCACCAACATTCGGTAAATAACACAGAGGCGAGAAGATTTTCGAATCCATTCTGCAAATTTCATTCATTTTAAAAGATTTTCTTCTCATCCGTCAATCGTTTATAGCATCAGCCTCATTATTTCTATGCTGTATTATTCTATTGCTTGTTATTCTTGTGGTACCTGTAGTAGCATTTATTTTAGTATCTAATGCCTAATTATTAGGTGATGATAACATTTACAATATTGTTATTAGTCTAATATTGTAAATATTGTAATCGATGCAGTTGACATCATTCCTAAATGTCAGTGTTCAAAAAAGCATTTTAATGATTCGCGAGCAGTCAACAACAAATCACGTCATTGGTTCGAATGGAATTTTTCCATTTGATTTTTGGTCGAATTCGTCAGAAATTTGCTTTCATTTTGGATTGCTAACATTCGAATTGGATTGGTATTCTAGTTGATATTTAAGCAAAACCATTCTCTGAATTCATTAATAATAAAATCTCTCAAAGTAAACAATTTTTTAGAAATGTCGAACGTTGATGTCATTTTTTGAATTTTCTAAAGTTCAAAAAATGACAAAACCAGTCGTTAACAAAAATCAGACAACCACAAATATGCAGTACTGATAATAATACAAATTGTTAGTATTGATAATGATAATGGTGATTAGGAGATGATAGTAATACTAATACTGATAACGATAGTAATAATAAATGAGAATCGCCAGCACAAACCTAATATTCGCTGAAATGCGGACTGTATTATCGACGTTCATTTGCATAAAATCGCTGAGCTGTCGCATCTTTTGGAAGTCAGCTCGTAACGGCCATCCACTACCACGAGTGAATTCATCATCGTTGATTCGTAAATCATTGAACAGCACATTACCATTATTATCCGCCACACTGATTCTAAATAATATTATTCATCGTCACTAACCACAAAATGCTGCTGACATCAGCAATATTTTCGATATTCTCCAGTGGGATAACCATCAGTCACATACATCACTTCAGAATGCTGGAGACGATTAATAACGGAACTGGGATCGGATATCGAGGATCGGATCGGGTCGAAGCGGTACGGAATGGATTTAAAAGGCAAAACAATGAAAGCAAAGCACTAACATAGCCTCAATGATGTGTATATCCAGTTTCGGACCGTCCTTATAATACAGAAATATATTCACACCGTTGTTGTCTTTGGCGTTATTGTTGTCCATACAATCCAGCGTTATACAGTCATCATTGAGTCGTAGTGTCCATGTAAACTGTACGCCGTTGTATGCGGTACTGAATGCTGGCGATATATTCAATATGACCGTTTCACTTCCGATTGACCTGAAATCCTTCCGATGTGAGTTCTTTTGATTCACTTCTAGATTTTGTGGAAGACAAAGGGGCTGTTATAATTGACCAGCTGCGATGAATTTACACGAGATTCTCAAAGATATCCGTAGAGATCAACTCGTCAAGATTAAACGTGCATAAATGAAGGATAATAGAAGAGTTATAATAGTAAGTAATGCAGTGAAAACAATATAAAACGATAACGATAGCAATAATAATGAGTGATTACCTTTTACATATTTTCACAATCCATTCGTACTGAAAGGTGAGCTCATCTGGAGTCTGTCCCGCATTACTGCACGATGGCTGATCATCACCGTATCTTTCAACCACAGTTTCATCCATTCTTATTATTAATACCAACTAACGTAACAAATGTTAATGGTTATATATACAACGATTCTTTCAATTAGTGTTAATATTGGTTAGAGCAGTATATTCACAACAGCTGGTGATATAGAGTTTTGCTGAAAATATTTCATGAAATTATCGTTTGATAAAGGGAATCGAATCGCACAACACAGTAACATAGGTCACGATATTGACTCGACAGCTCAGGCGATTAGATCTTCAGCCGATTGAGTAATGCAAGTTCGAATGTTACCGGGGATTACAATTGTTGCTACAGGCTGAAAGTAAATGTAAATGGGAACGTAAAAATCTCTCAAGAAGAACACAAGTTGCATAGCAGCAAAGAACACGAGAAAAGGCTATCAAAAAACATGTGATAAAGATATCAGAGGGGAAAAATGCTGAGGATTGACGAGGATTTTGATGAATCGAATTCGAAATGCTCTCCTATCGCTAGATGAGCGATTGAGAGACGAAACGAACACCTTGAACAGTGCTGTTTGCAGTAAAAAAAAANNNAAAAAAAGAAGAATCTGCAGAACATTCGAGTGAATGTAAGGAAAGAAATGTTGAGTGAGAGTGAAATTGAATAATCGAATTTGCAAAACTTCATTTTGCATACAAACAGCCAGCCTGCCAGCCATAAAAAGAAATGCTCTTATCAAGAAAGCGTCACCAACAAAATGATCGTCGTCGTCACTTCACGTGTCACTTCGACGAAAACCAACCGCTTTATAGAACTTTATCAGCGTCGAATATCGTAATATCAAATGATAACTGATAATTTTATGCCGATAAAAACATTAATAATGGAAGTGCAAACTACCGATAATCACAAAAACACAACACAATAACAATACTATAATAGCAACAATAATAAATTACACAAAAAAATCGCTTTTCAACGACAATCTATCGAACACGATGTAAATTTGCGTTCATCGTCGTCAACTTAAGAGGAGATGAACGCAAAGAACGAACTATTAATGTGAAAAGAGTTTGATTTCCGGAAACAACGATTACACAACATATGAAAGAGCAATGCGTCGGTCGTTCTATTCGCATGCGATATTTCCAAAAACTTGAATCGAATCGAAATGAATTGAATTGAAATGAATTGAAATGCATTGAATAACGATGAATTCAACGATGAATTGAATAATAAGGTGCCATTTGCTTATGACGAAATAAGGAAAGAAACGTTTTCTTCATCATAAAAATAACTTCAAACGGCACAAAGATCGTTGCCTCACTTTGCATCTTATCATAATCACGAGACAACCATATCAGAAAAAGTATTTGCAGAAAAGTTTCTATGGAACAAAACGATCAAATTGAGTAAATATTTTTGAAGATGAAACGTGGAACTGAAGCATAACAATCACCTATCGATAACACTGTAACAGGTACTTGAAAGTATCGGCTCATCAAAAACACTACATGAGCTGCAATCAGTGACTGTGTTAGCAGCAAATGAATAAATCAAAATAACAAAAATATTAACTGCTTACGTGAAAACAGTACATTACAATGTTGGGTGCAAATGTACCGAAATGCACGAGAATAACAGATAGAATTATTATCTAGCATACACGCACACACACAACTAACCAAACAAATCGTCGAATGGGATGAAACAAGAATGGAAAATGTGTTTTCCAATCACTTTCCATATGAAAAGTACTTGTTTTTCTTTTTGTTTTTCACATTTCGCTATTTTTTTCTTACAAAATTTTTTGCATTTCCTTCACGCGTTATTCACAGCCAATTTCTGTCGTTTAATAAATTCGCTGAAAATTTTCGAACGAAAACTACAGTAAATTTATATAATAGTTCCGGTGTTATGTTATGTCATCGTAAACAGGTCGTGCGATTCGTCGCAAAACAGACAACAGCGTAGAGCAATGAGGAAAAAGCAAAACAAGAAAATGGATGCGAAAAAATAAGAGAAGAAAAACTGAAAAATCACAAGTTGAAAAAAAAAGTTTGGATAGAAAAAAAGTGTTCTAAAGAGGTTTGTGCAAACGAGTATCATCTATCTCTTAACAAGGATTTGCACTGAACATTTGTTCACGACAACGTGCGATTTTTCAGTTCGTTTCGCGTTTGCTGTTTGCTCTTTTCTTGATTTTTTATGAAAAAATGTTACTTCTACAAAATTTTTTTCCCGTTTGCGAACTATTAACATGTCGAGTGATAATCTCAACGATATGATATTGGAACAGCAGTTGTGATCAATCGAAATGGTCGATTGGATGGTATTACGGTAGGATGATAATACGGTAGGATGATAACACGATATTGCACCTGTAATTGCTATCATTATTACTGTTATTATTATAGTTATTATTATTATTATTTCTATTATTATGGTGAGTTGTATTACTGTTGTTATTATCGTCATTTAGAGTGGCATTACTATCAATCTCGTTACCGCTATGAACATATCACGACCGATCCAACTACCGATATCAAGTCATAGCATATCATCATCACGTAAGGTGTCGTCATTGCAATTATTATGAATTACTACAAAACCAACAAGAAATGAATGGTTCAAACATAGAAATCGAAAAAAATAACTGAAAAAATAGTTGAATAAAGAAAGAGCACATTATAGTGATGAAATACAACAACAAACTGATACAAATATTCATTTATTTGTTGTGTTGGTGTATTTTAGTTATAGTGTGTATGGACGAGTGTTTGGGTTGTTCATGTTATGTGATATCTTTCAGAAATGAACAAATGAAATTAATTTGATTCAATTCAATTTGATTCAAGTGTGTGGGAGGGACGAGGAGTGTCTCTTAGCGGAAAACCGGTTTTGTTAATTTCGTTTGGATGATAATAATGGGAATAATATTGATAAGGGTAGTGATAAGATAAAAAATAACAATATTATCAAATAATGAAACTATGTGATTCATTCCGATCAAATAAACATGTCAATCAGTGTTTTACGCAAGTTAGTGTCCATATACGCAACGTTATATTACACGAATGACGAGGAAGGTAAGTTGGTCCCGATTTCGTGGCTGCAATAATGATTTCAAAGCTGAAAACATTTGCCATCACCATTATTTACTATACATGTACATCGTTTTATTAGTGTATGTGATGATTACCATTATATTTGAGAGTAGTGATTGGTCGTGAATAATATTTTTATAGATAAAAGATCTTATCGACAATAGAGATCAGAGATCACCAAAACAAGAGACCCTTCAGTGGATTGTAGCTATTATTCGACAGCTGACAACTCGCTTCAAAACAATCCAATTCAATGGAATTTTAACACGACGTCAAATTGTTACACTGCACAGATGAAATAATAATAATAATAATCACATTACGGAAACAATAATCACATTATTATCAAAACTATTATTGTTACCGTTTTAATCGCTATCATTAGTGTTGTCAAGAAAATTAGATGAACGGAGAATATGGTGACACTGATGGAAATTTTTAGAAAATGTTTATGAAATGCAGCGATATTCGAATATTTATATGGAGAATAACAGTTTATTGGCTAATTGAAATGTGCATTTGTATGAATATATGCAGAAATTGTCAGTTGCGAAATTTTTGAATGATGAAATTGAAATGTTCAATTTATGGTGGTTGGGTTCGGTCGACTTTCCATTTATAAGAACATACACGTCATAGCAACAAGTTGTTGTTGGCCATATTGAAAGTCAACTCAAATCAAAAAGTGTTTCAATCAAGACGCAATTTGAAATTATATATTTCAAATTATTCAGTCAGCGAATTGCTGGAAAAGTTGTCTTTTGAGCACTGCATTTTTCAGTTGTTTACTCGGCTAGATGAACCCCAGAGATTGTAAATTTTCGGNCCGCGCTCTACGTACAGTCAAAATGAACACTGATTGCTAACGGCAGCCAGATAGGTGAACTTCAAGAAATCACAGTGCTGTTTTTATTTTGAAGAAATTAGAAGATGAAAGGCACAGCAGCAGCGCCTTTGGTAAATAGTTAAAAATTTATGAACGATTGTAACAATGAAGAATCAGTGCAATCCAATCAACACACACACACATACAACAGGTAATTGAGTAAAAAAATATTTGATTGATGTGTTTATTGCCTCAATGAATGTGATTGAATAAATGAATAAATCTGTTACAAATAATTTCAACAACTAATTCAACTTCTTCCTTAATTGTCATTGAGTTCTTCTTTTAATGCATTTGTTGTTATTGGAGATGTACATTATCATAAAGCAATCTCTCTTTCCAATAACACAATAGCAATCGTTCGATGTGTGAAACTATTATTGAAAGAGGCAGCATCTCGTATTGCTCCATAAAATGAGTGATTGATTCTGTACACAGACGGCGGCCCAAACACAGCAGCATTCATAATTTGACTAATGCAAGTTTCACATATGCTCATATATTCTCTCTTGTTCCTTCGAGCTCACCTCAGGTTCAAATTCAAGTTTCTTTAGAGATATCCAATTGAAATGCTGAAAATTTAATCGAACTTCAAACCTTTCATCATATTCAGCATTTCAGCTTACTTCCCCCTCCAGAGAAAGCGACGATCTGAACTGAAAATGACATAAAAATTGTGAATGCAACATAATAAAGACTTATCGGAGAGCCTTTTTGTGGGAGAAGATAACATCGAAAAAATTTTCAGTGAAAATGAAATCGAACGAAACAATAAAAAGAGCTAAGCATTAACGTGTTTAATCGCAAGCACTGCTGGTAGTTAACGAACAGCAAAATCATTCGTAGGAGTTGCTTTAATAAATCACTCGGCTCTGCATCGGGCATATCTCGAGCCCAACCAAGCTCATTTATCATCATCACCGCCAACACCAAAGTTATTATTGATTTTTTGCAATCTATTGATCAGTTAATCGAGATCTGATCAACTCAATGACCATCGCTAGATTAAATCAATAGCTCAAAGTTCAATGATCAGAGTACTCTGGAACGGAGGCGAGAGTGATTCATCCGAGTT